TGATCTTTGCCTCAGGAACTGGGTTTGAGCTTTCTCTTCCCTATTCCCCCCAGCTATCTTCTGACCAGCTAAGTGTGCTGCCCTTTTTCAAAAAGAGCAGAGAAAGTGTGGGGAATGACTGAGGTGAGACTGCTTTCCCAGTGCATCAGCTGGAAGCCTCTGGGAACCCTCCTGGCTGAGAGCATGCATTTGTCTTCCCGTTGCCCACACCCCTCCTGCCTCCACTGAGGGCTCCCAGCAATGTGGCAATTTTGCTTTAGATGTGTAATCAGTGATTTCTGCCACATCTCAGAGGCAATGCCTCCTAGCCCCCCACACCTCCCCTTTGAACAAGTCATAGCTGCATTGGGTATCAATCAGCATTTACTCACAGCCATAGGGGCAAGGCACCAAAAAGCATTCCTGACAATGCCATTTGCAGCTGGGGCAGCATTGGGGAAAATAGAGATGCTGAAGAGTAAACATAAATCGCTTAGTCAGCAACTGTCCTGCCCCAAGAGGTGAGTGTAAACAGCCTGGTACTGAGGGGGAGGGGCAGGCAGCCCGCGGGGCCTTCCACAGCTGCCATTATCTGAGGGCTTTCAAAGACACCAGTATTGCTGTTCTGTTGGGAGGTAGGGAAGGTATCCCCTTTGTTGGAACTATGTGACCTTAGCCCTAGAAAAACACACTTGCTGACTCAGGGCAGAATTAATATCAATTGGATTTATTACAACTAAGCTCCAAGGCACATTACAGTGTTCTGTTAACTACAGAAATGTATAAAGGACAAACAGAGCAGATTCTCCATGTCTAGCATTTCGCTCTACTGTTCAAAAGCATCCGTGCATCAATAAAGCAAAAACAAAACAACACGTGAAGATCCAACACATTCAGGTTCGTAGAAACAAACTGAAACATTTTCCCTCACAAACTTGCAACAAAAAACACCCCCACCCTCCCCAACACCCCTCTTACCACTTTGCAAACAAAACAGAAAAATGGAACAGAACAAAATAAAGTGAAGACTTCAACACTTGGGGCTGTTTAGAAAGAAGCTTTCACCATTTTATAGCCTTTTTTTTTTTTTTTTCTTTTGTGTGTGTTTTTCCTTTCAGAGAGTGCATAACATTTACAAAAATACACACCAGCAGCAGTCGTTGCTAAGGGCTAGTAATTCTGTACCTAGGCAAACTCTGCCACCAAGTAAATGCTAACGAATATGATGCAAATGACCCAACCAATTATTATACTGCTTAACACAAACCAGGTTATCCTTCAAATGAAGAAGTTACATACCTTTGTTCCAAAATATAGAAACATACGACGAAAATAATGTCTATACATAAGACTAACTCTTTGCAGTTTGTTATATTCACAATTCTACATCTTGGGGAAGGGGAGGGGGAGGGCCGCTGTGGGCGGGGGAGGGGCTCTCTGGATTGGAGAGGAGCTGGTCTGGGGCAAAGGAGGTGGCTGTTTTGTGGTTCAAGGGTCTCTCTCCTTTTTCACTTTAACATCTCCAGCTAAGATCGTTGCGATTTCGCCCTGCATGAAAGCCCAAGGTACATTAGACCCAACCAAGGGGCATTTCTCTCCGCTGGGGCAGTACACCTCGCCGGTGGCTCCCTGTGCCTTGATACTCTCTCTGGAGCAAGGGAAACAGAATTTGTGGCTGGGGACAGATGGGCACTGAACGAAATGCGTGTCCTCCAAACGTTCGTGGCAAATGGTACAGCACAGCGGCCCGCTGTTGGCCATAGGAGAATCTGGAATGTTTTGGGGGTGCACTTGGTCCATGCCCGGGTGGGTGCTAGGAGGTGGGGGCGCCACCTGTAAATTCAGGTCCCCGTTCCGTGACGCCAAGCGGCGCTGCCCGGGCACAGAGGCCGGCGACACTGGGCTGCTGCTGTTGCGCCTCGTGGACGCAGTGGTGGAGTGCACGGAAGTGCCATCCTTGGGTGAGTGCGCGGTGCCCAGAGTGTCTGCCACTGACATGAGGGCGGCCATGGGGGACGGCCCATTCTGTGGGGCTGACTCGGGCGGGGTGGTCCGGTTGGAATGGGGTCCCAGGGGTGGGGGCGGCGGGGGCGGACCCCCCGCCGCATGCCCCGGCGCTGCAAACCCCCCGGCCGACATGGTGAGCTTTAGTGCCTCGCTCTGGTTCGCCATCCACTGCTGCCTCTGCTGCTCCTCGCCCAGCTTCAGTGCGCCCTCGGCGGAGTCCGGGGGCTCGGGAGATGCTTTCCTCTTGCGCAGGCTGGCGGCTGCACTACGGCCCGAAGGGGCAGCGGGCGGCAGGGCCCCGGTTCCCGGGGGTGCGCTGGGGGCGCGGCTGAGACTCACCAGTGCCGTGGGCAGCATGGGGCAGTTGGCGTCCAGGTAGGGCTGAGGCAGCATGTCGGCGCCGGGCACGCCCTCCTTGAAGAAGCGAACAGCCTCGGGCAGCAGGTCCCCAAGTAGGCGCCAGTCCCCGGAACCGTGCTTCTTCTCATACTCCAGATACTTGAAGCCAGAGGAGAGACCCCGTCCGAAGTCCTTCATACAGTCCTGGTACATTTGCTTGGCCACACCAGACGCGCTGGAGTACACGTTGCCCGAGCCGGTGGGATACTCAATGAACAGCTTTAGTTCGTAGTCCATACCAGGTTTGGAGACGGCGTCAAAGGCGAAGACTCGGCCCAGCAGCGAGTGGTCCTTCTTGAAACGCACCTCGTAAGGCGTGCAGCCCGCCAGCGTGAGCAGCGTGTCGCGAACCATCTTGGGCTTGCTGGCCCACTCCTCGGCGCGGTTGCGCAGGCTTTCGCTCAGCTCGGCCAGGGCCTCAGCGTTACGCTGCTTCTCCTTCAGCTCACGCTCCTGGTCGGTGCTCGATACTGAGCCGGGCCTTTTGACACCGGCACCCACGCCCACCTCGGCAACCGAAGACGAGGTGGAAGACGCCGCCGAAGACGCTGAGACTGACGCGCCTGTGGCGCCCCCGAGACAAGCGGGGCCCCCGGGGGCGCCAGGGGGCGCGGGCGTCGGGGGCCCACGACTGCCCAGGCCGTGGGGCGGCGGGGGCGGCAGCACGGCAGCGCTGGCCGGGCCATTGAGCAGCGTCTGCGGCAGCAGGCTTGGGGGTACGGTGAGCTGCGGGCCTCCGCCGCCCCCCGGGTTGGGCAGCCCCGTCACTAGCCCGCCGTGCGTCCCGCGCCGAGCCGCCACCGACGCGACTGCTGAAGAAGAGTTGGGGCTCTGGCGGTTCAGTTCCGGGGGCCCCTCCTCCGGTGTCGGCTTGGGGAAGCCATTGGGGCCCCCCAGGCCGTTGGGCAGCCGCGCGGCGTGGCTGCTGCTCCCCAGGCTCGGCGGCGGCGGCGGGTACTCAAAGCGGCTGCGCTGTTCCACGGCGGCGGCGGCTGCGGCGGCAGCGGCGGCGCTCAAGCCGTAGCGTTCCAGGCCGGACGGCGCCGCCAGCACCGCGGGTTTGCCGGGCCCGTCGACGTGGTTGAGCTGCTGTTGTTGCTGTTGCTGCGCGGCGGCAGCGGCCGCCGCTGCCGCCGCCGCCGCCGCCGCCGCCGCCTCTTTAGCCGACAGGGCCACTGTCTTGACGCCGACCGGCGGCGGAGGCCCGGGGGAGCGGCCGTCCTGGAAGCAGCCGTGCGCCCGCTTCAGCTGGCGAGCGGTCTCGATCACGAACTCGATGCGGTCGGCGCCCTCGTAGTTTACGCAACCGCGGCAGACGGGTTCCGAGAAGTCCCAGATCATGGCCCAGGGCATGCGGGGCAGGTCGCACAGGTAGCAGGACTGTCTCCGCGACGAGGACACCTGCGCCGCCGCCATGCTGCCGACCCCGGGGGTGGGTCCCCGCCCGGGCGGTCTCAGCAGAGCCTTCTCCGCCCGGAGGACTGGCCGGCCGCGGGGGGAGTCCGGCTGCGGGGGAAGGCGGGGGGGCGATAAAGTTCTGCCCCACGGGCTGGAGGCAGCGCGAGTCTCCGCCGCCGGCGCAACGCCTCTCCGCGGGGGCTCCACCGCCCGGGCCGCGGACGGGTTCAGCCCTCGCTTCGCCCCCACCTCCTGCTGCGGCTGTCTCGTCGGCAGGGAAGCTCAGGCGCCTTCTTCCTGGTGCAGCGGACCCGGCCTGGAACCTCCGGACGGGGGGAGGGGGCGAGGGTGCCAAGCGCTGCCAGCCGTTGGCTCTAGCCCCCTCCCCGGTGTGGCTGGTGCGTGGAAGCTCGGAAGGGGCTGTCTCTTCCTCTCCCTTGGGGGCCCCCTACGAGCTCAGTCCTCTGCCCGCCAGGCTTCCCGGGGCGAGGGCTAGAAGGCTCAGTGCCACCCGGCGCCCGGGTCCAATCTTGCTCAAGTCGTTGCTTCCCTGGAGGGCCGGCGGGCCGGGGGGCTGGGAGGCAGTGGCAGCAGAGAGGAGCTTCTCCCCTCTGCAGCTTCGGCCGTTCCGCTGGCGGTGGCTGCGTTTGCACGGCCGGAGAAAGCCGCCGCGGCCACTGCTTCCAGGACGCGGGAGAGGAAAGGAGAGGAGCGCACGCACGCAGGCTCCCGCCGCCCCAGGCCTGGCCGGCGCCTGGGCCGCCGCAGCAGGCGGGGCTCACGTTGGCTGCAGGGCGCTCGCACGGTGCCTCGGCCAGGGTCGCATCCCTTCCCGCTCGCACTCGCCCAGAATGTGGGGTTGTGATTGTTACTCTACGTTCCGGAGGCGCGTCTCGGCGCTCCCGCTCGCGCTGCGGCTCGCGCTGTCCCCGGCTTGGCCGCGCGGGATGCCGCCCGGGCGGAGCGCTGACGTCACCGCCATGCTCTGCACCAGTCCTCCCCCCCCCCACCTCTTTACACTTCCTCCGTCTGTGGAGCCCACTTGTTGCTCGCGAAAGGCGCATGCGCGGCAGGACGCCCAGATTCCTCCCAGTCGGCCCCTCCTCTGCGCCTCCGCCCTCCCCTCCCCCCTCGCTGTGTGTGTACAACAGCTGAGGCTCGGCGAGCTAATGCTGGAAGTCCAGGACTGGGGGTGGAAATTAAACAGATGATGACCTTTCCTTTCCCCTCCCGGCTTTCCCAAGTAAAAACGCATTTAAAAACCACAAGCGTCGTTTCCGATCCCGCTCACCCCGGGCAGTGAATTTTAATGTCCTGTTCAAGATTGCTGTGAATTTCGTATAGGGTGTTAACCCATGTCATCTGCAATCAAATCTTTTCTCCCGTTACGGATATTTCATTCACTATCACCGATGAGGAAGCACCAGCAAAATTAGCTGTTTTCCACTCTTACAGAAACTGCCTTTTCGCATTGTTTTTTGTACACTGGTCTAGCAACCTAAGCCTCAACGATGGAGCTAAATAAATTCAGGGTAAGCCACCTCTCCCCCCAAGCCGCACTCTAAAAATTTTGGCTGAATGTCCAAAGAAGCTACGAGAACCCGGAGGCCTTTAAGGAAAACAGGCTACTGGCTGTTCACAGCTGCAGTTGGGGGCAGGGAGGGGGAGGTGCTGGAGAGGCCAAACAGGTGAGTGGTTTTTCTGGGTTTGATAAAAGTGTGGGGACAGCACTTAAAAATATTTGGTATCTCTTTGTAAAACGCAGTTTTCAGAGTAATTTCTAGTGTGCTGTGATTTCATCCCATAATGCCCCAGAAGGCTGAGCCGTCTGGTGATTTTGTTTCCGTTAGATCGCTGCTCGTCATTATTACGTATTGTGGAACATATATGTTGGCTCTAATCAAAGTTTTTCAACTGATTCTTCTAAGTTTTGGGTCTGTTTTTTCTTTTTTTCCCAGGAAATCAGATAATTCTGGGCAAGGCTGTGGATGGGGAGGCAATGTAATAGGATCTCAGGATCTGCAGTCTGGCAGACTAGGTTGGAATTTCTTCTCCATCACTTACTGGGCTTTGTTCTTGAGCTAGTCTTAACCTCATAACCTGTTTCCATCTGTAAAATGGGATCGTAACTCCCAACTTACTAGGACTGTTTTGAGATTTCGTTTTCTTTCTTGTAATAGGTAACTCACTGAGTACTTCTGTGGACTAGACATTGCTAGGTGGTTTGCTTGTATATTATTAAACCCTCAATATTATCTACAAGATAGATTCTACGATTAACTCTGTTTTACAGTCTCAAAGTAAAAAAGTTAAATAACTGGCCCAAGGTCACACAGCCATTGGAGGTGGAGCTGAGATCCAAATCAAGTAAACATGATTTGAGAAGCGACTTTGACAAGCTTAGGTTCTCAGAGGTGGTTTAGGGTGTTCAGAATTTCCATTGCTGCCCCCCCCCCACTTTGTTACATGCAAGCTCATGTAAAGTACTATGAGATATGCCTTTGTAACAAACGCCTCTTCTCCGATTTCAAACAGATTGTGTTGCTGAATTCTTCCATATACAGAAGTTTTGGATCTGCCACTGACACAGACTATAACATAAATACACTGTATAGTGTATAGAGCAGTGTTGGACTCACCTGAAGCCATTGGTAAAATGTTGGTTAGTATTAATATTAGCGTTGGTATTATTGCTAGTTAACATGTAAAAGTACTTTGTAAAGTGTATAAAATGTAGGGAGCATTATTCTTATCACTACTACCACTACGAATTGTAATAGAGCTCAGTTGAAGCAACCAGAAGGATTTATTTTTGACACTTGACCTTCAGAACCTGTTCCCCCATCCAGCACTCCCCAACACTCCCCCAGTACTCTGATCATCTGCTCATTCTGGGGCCCTAGGTGCAAAGGAAGGGCTGTTTTAAGGATAGGGAGAAAGGGGGAAGGAAGAGCTCTAGGGTGCCCCGCTTTCATCTCAGAGCAGCCAGATTTCTGTTTTTGCAAAACAGTGAGCTCACTGTGCACTCCCCAACAATAATAAACTTTCCCTGGCCTGCTGGCTCCCGGCAGTGATTCTCTGTTATATGCTGCTGTGGGAGCATTGCCTCACCCTTCCAAACTCCAGCCCTCCCCACACCACAGCTACCCTGGAGTGAGTCAAAACATAGGGCTGGGAAACGGAGTGACATCCCAACCGGCCCAGGGCTCAGGACTTTGGGCTTGTTAGCTTTGGCTTGGCTGGTTCATCCATTTCTTTACATTAATATTTATTCAACCCATCCTTTTATTTACCAAAAATACTGAGAAATAGCAATTTAGCCCCAACCCTCTAGCCAGGATGCTAGAGAAAGCAAGTTGGATTCTGTGTCATGGTGTTGTTTTGTATGTGCACACATATGTCTCTATCTCCTTGTCCGTCTCTGTCTTCACTGTTTCTAAAGGAGATATATATAGATATCTACACACATCCACAAATGCCTGGTGTCTTCAGGCACACTTGAATTAGAAATAAACATGCATTTCAGCAAACTTCCATTACAGTCCCATAATCCTTTAATTTAAAAAGCATAGCTCTCTTGATAACCCTTCCTCCCTCAAAGAATCACCATCCTTTATGATGGTAAATTTCATCTTAACTGTCTGTCTGAAATGGCTCTTTATGGGGATATGTCAGGGATTGTGAGAGGCAAGACTGTTTTCAGAGAGATTTTTCCCCTGAAGGAGGAGAATCCTATATGACAACACTGCGTCCACAGTGGTTAGGACTGGGGTGAAGGTGCTCAACCCAAAACACCAGGTGGAGAGACTCTGGCAGTGGCATCTGGGAGAGTCTGAGCCAGGCTCAACCAGGCCCAAAGGGAAATGCTTGCAATCCTCAGAAAGTTCCTCCTTAAAGCTGCTGTCTCCCCACAGCTTGCCATCTGAGCTAGCACCCTCAAAGAACCGCCCCACCCCCACCTCAGCTCTAAACTGGAGCAAAAGGTCAGCTCTCCACTTCGTCCTGGTTGGTGGGTGGGGGAGCAGGGGTCGGAACAGCCCAACCTTAGGGGTGAGAAGAGTGAAGTGTGCCCAGGCATTTATAAACTGGCCGCAGTCACCCTGTTGTCATCTCGCCAATCCCGCCCCCACCCCCGCTGGCTTGTGGCACACATAGGTCAGGCTGGGGTACTCTAGGGCCGGGCATCCCTGTAGCCAGCTGGCTTGGCTTTCGAGGAGGCCCGGGCTGAACCTCGCGTCACCCGGCTGCAAAGCGCGCAGCGAGCGGCCAAATGCTCAAGCAAGAGAAAGGCCTTTTTTGGTAACAGTCAGCCTGGCGGTAAGGAAGACCCGGTTCACCGGCCCGCTAGAGCAGCCTCAGAGCGGATGAAAACAAACGCCTGGGTTGGGCTGCCCTCTGGGCTCTCACAGGGCCCCGTCTTGCACGCCAGGAGCTAATGGAGCTACTGGGAAGAATCGAGTCAGCACAGTAATTTACACATTTACTTCCAGGCCAGTTCCGTGGGGGAAGTCTGCTTTTTTTTCTAAAGTATAAATTCTGATACTAATTTTTTTTCACTTAGGCCAGGGCGCAGGGTTACGCAAAGCCATTCGAGCGTGAAATCCCAGCAACTACGTGATGCGCTTAAAACCTTTTGCGAAGGCAGCCTGCGGCGCTGCCAAGACCTGCCCAGCCCGAAGCACGCAGGCAGCCCGGCATTCTCTGCAAAATTGGGTGGAAGGAAAAGGTGAACATAGTGGTTGGTGCCGGCCGGCCACAGAGAGCGATCAAATCTCTGACTGCTCTCTTCCTGAAGGGGCGGAGAGCAGGGAAGGGAAGAAAGGCAGGAGGAGTCGTGTCAGGTTCCTCCCCCCTCCCACTCCTTCCCTTGCCCGCATGTCCGGGCACCGGGAAGCCCAGCGCTGTCCTCAGCAAAAGCGGATGTGTTTTTTAGGTACCCCCCCCAAAAAAAAGGAACTATGGAATGAGTCTCCCATACACCAGTCCTCGAGGGGGCGGGGAAGGAATCGCTATTCAAGGGTGCTATTCATTGACTCAGTTGGGTTAAAACAAACACTACACCTCAAGAAGGGGTGGGGAGCAGGGAAGGAGGGCTTGAAGGGCAAAAATGAACGGGGGAGCCGTTAAGGCCACAGGTGCGCACACCCCCAGGACCCTCCATCTTACTCCGTGTGCACTTGGACCTCAGCAGGGAGCAAGAGTGCCAGTGGGTTCCCACCAGCCAACATCAGGCCTGGGGATTTCCACTGCCTGGCTTTGGAGACCCGTCGCCGCCGGCGCTTTCCTGTTGGGGCTGCCAGAAGGCAGGCCNCCTCAGCGTTACGCTGCTTCTCCTTCAGCTCACGCTCCTGGTCGGTGCTCGATACTGAGCCGGGCCTTTTGACACCGGCACCCACGCCCACCTCGGCAACCGAAGACGAGGTGGAAGACGCCGCCGAAGACGCTGAGACTGACGCGCCTGTGGCGCCCCCGAGACAAGCGGGGCCCCCGGGGGCGCCAGGGGGCGCGGGCGTCGGGGGCCCACGACTGCCCAGGCCGTGGGGCGGCGGGGGCGGCAGCACGGCAGCGCTGGCCGGGCCATTGAGCAGCGTCTGCGGCAGCAGGCTTGGGGGTACGGTGAGCTGCGGGCCTCCGCCGCCCCCCGGGTTGGGCAGCCCCGTCACTAGCCCGCCGTGCGTCCCGCGCCGAGCCGCCACCGACGCGACTGCTGAAGAAGAGTTGGGGCTCTGGCGGTTCAGTTCCGGGGGCCCCTCCTCCGGTGTCGGCTTGGGGAAGCCATTGGGGCCCCCCAGGCCGTTGGGCAGCCGCGCGGCGTGGCTGCTGCTCCCCAGGCTCGGCGGCGGCGGCGGGTACTCAAAGCGGCTGCGCTGTTCCACGGCGGCGGCGGCTGCGGCGGCAGCGGCGGCGCTCAAGCCGTAGCGTTCCAGGCCGGACGGCGCCGCCAGCACCGCGGGTTTGCCGGGCCCGTCGACGTGGTTGAGCTGCTGTTGTTGCTGTTGCTGCGCGGCGGCAGCGGCCGCCGCTGCCGCCGCCGCCGCCGCCGCCGCCGCCTCTTTAGCCGACAGGGCCACTGTCTTGACGCCGACCGGCGGCGGAGGCCCGGGGGAGCGGCCGTCCTGGAAGCAGCCGTGCGCCCGCTTCAGCTGGCGAGCGGTCTCGATCACGAACTCGATGCGGTCGGCGCCCTCGTAGTTTACGCAACCGCGGCAGACGGGTTCCGAGAAGTCCCAGATCATGGCCCAGGGCATGCGGGGCAGGTCGCACAGGTAGCAGGACTGTCTCCGCGACGAGGACACCTGCGCCGCCGCCATGCTGCCGACCCCGGGGGTGGGTCCCCGCCCGGGCGGTCTCAGCAGAGCCTTCTCCGCCCGGAGGACTGGCCGGCCGCGGGGGGAGTCCGGCTGCGGGGGAAGGCGGGGGGGCGATAAAGTTCTGCCCCACGGGCTGGAGGCAGCGCGAGTCTCCGCCGCCGGCGCAACGCCTCTCCGCGGGGGCTCCACCGCCCGGGCCGCGGACGGGTTCAGCCCTCGCTTCGCCCCCACCTCCTGCTGCGGCTGTCTCGTCGGCAGGGAAGCTCAGGCGCCTTCTTCCTGGTGCAGCGGACCCGGCCTGGAACCTCCGGACGGGGGGAGGGGGCGAGGGTGCCAAGCGCTGCCAGCCGTTGGCTCTAGCCCCCTCCCCGGTGTGGCTGGTGCGTGGAAGCTCGGAAGGGGCTGTCTCTTCCTCTCCCTTGGGGGCCCCCTACGAGCTCAGTCCTCTGCCCGCCAGGCTTCCCGGGGCGAGGGCTAGAAGGCTCAGTGCCACCCGGCGCCCGGGTCCAATCTTGCTCAAGTCGTTGCTTCCCTGGAGGGCCGGCGGGCCGGGGGGCTGGGAGGCAGTGGCAGCAGAGAGGAGCTTCTCCCCTCTGCAGCTTCGGCCGTTCCGCTGGCGGTGGCTGCGTTTGCACGGCCGGAGAAAGCCGCCGCGGCCACTGCTTCCAGGACGCGGGAGAGGAAAGGAGAGGAGCGCACGCACGCAGGCTCCCGCCGCCCCAGGCCTGGCCGGCGCCTGGGCCGCCGCAGCAGGCGGGGCTCACGTTGGCTGCAGGGCGCTCGCACGGTGCCTCGGCCAGGGTCGCATCCCTTCCCGCTCGCACTCGCCCAGAATGTGGGGTTGTGATTGTTACTCTACGTTCCGGAGGCGCGTCTCGGCGCTCCCGCTCGCGCTGCGGCTCGCGCTGTCCCCGGCTTGGCCGCGCGGGATGCCGCCCGGGCGGAGCGCTGACGTCACCGCCATGCTCTGCACCAGTCCTCCCCCCCCCCACCTCTTTACACTTCCTCCGTCTGTGGAGCCCACTTGTTGCTCGCGAAAGGCGCATGCGCGGCAGGACGCCCAGATTCCTCCCAGTCGGCCCCTCCTCTGCGCCTCCGCCCTCCCCTCCCCCCTCGCTGTGTGTGTACAACAGCTGAGGCTCGGCGAGCTAATGCTGGAAGTCCAGGACTGGGGGTGGAAATTAAACAGACGATGACCTTTCCTTTCCCCTCCCGGCTTTCCCAAGTAAAAACGCATTTAAAAACCACAAGCGTCGTTTCCGATCCCGCTCACCCCGGGCAGTGAATTTTAATGTCCTGTTCAAGATTGCTGTGAATTTCGTATAGGGTGTTAACCCATGTCATCTGCAATCAAATCTTTTCTCCCGTTACGGATATTTCATTCACTATCACCGATGAGGAAGCACCAGCAAAATTAGCTGTTTTCCACTCTTACAGAAACTGCCTTTTCGCATTGTTTTTTGTACACTGGTCTAGCAACCTAAGCCTCAACGATGGAGCTAAATAAATTCAGGGTAAGCCACCTCTCCCCCCAAGCCGCACTCTAAAAATTTTGGCTGAATGTCCAAAGAAGCTACGAGAACCCGGAGGCCTTTAAGGAAAACAGGCTACTGGCTGTTCACAGCTGCAGTTGGGGGCAGGGAGGGGGAGGTGCTGGAGAGGCCAAACAGGTGAGTGGTTTTTCTGGGTTTGATAAAAGTGTGGGGACAGCACTTAAAAATATTTGGTATCTCTTTGTAAAACGCAGTTTTCAGAGTAATTTCTAGTGTGCTGTGATTTCATCCCATAATGCCCCAGAAGGCTGAGCCGTCTGGTGATTTTGTTTCCGTTAGATCGCTGCTCGTCATTATTACGTATTGTGGAACATATATGTTGGCTCTAATCAAAGTTTTTCAACTGATTCTTCTAAGTTTTGGGTCTGTTTTTTCTTTTTTTCCCAGGAAATCAGATAATTCTGGGCAAGGCTGGGGATGGGGAGGCAATGTAATAGGATCTCAGGATCTGCAGTCTGGCAGACTAGGTTGGAATTTCTTCTCCATCACTTACTGGGCTTTGTTCTTGAGCTAGTCTTAACCTCATAACCTGTTTCCATCTGTAAAATGGGATCGTAACTCCCAACTTACTAGGACTGTTTTGAGATTTCGTTTTCTTTCTTGTAATAGGTAACTCACTGAGTACTTCTGTGGACTAGACATTGCTAGGTGGTTTGCTTGTATATTATTAAACCCTCAATATTATCTACAAGATAGATTCTACGATTAACTCTGTTTTACAGTCTCAAAGTAAAAAAGTTAAATAACTGGCCCAAGGTCACACAGCCATTGGAGGTGGAGCTGAGATCCAAATCAAGTAAACATGATTTGAGAAGCGACTTTGACAAGCTTAGGTTCTCAGAGGTGGTTTAGGGTGTTCAGAATTTCCATTGCTGCCCCCCCCCCACTTTGTTACATGCAAGCTCATGTAAAGTACTATGAGATATGCCTTTGTAACAAACGCCTCTTCTCCGATTTCAAACAGATTGTGTTGCTGAATTCTTCCATATACAGAAGTTTTGGATCTGCCACTGACACAGACTATAACATAAATACACTGTATAGTGTATAGAGCAGTGTTGGACTCACCTGAAGCCATTGGTAAAATGTTGGTTAGTATTAATATTAGCGTTGGTACTATTGCTAGTTAACATGTAAAAGTACTTTGTAAAGTGTATAAAATGTAGGGAGCATTATTCTTATCACTACTACCACTACGAATTGTAATAGAGCCCAGTTGAAGCAACCAGAAGGATTTATTTTTGACACTTGACCTTCAGAACCTGTTCCCCCATCCAGCACTCCCCAACACTCCCCCAGTACTCTGATCATCTGCTCATTCTGGGGCCCTAGGTGCAAAGGAAGGGCTGTTTTAAGGATAGGGAGAAAGGGGGAAGGAAGAGCTCTAGGGTGCCCCGCTTTCATCTCAGAGCAGCCAGATTTCTGTTTTTGCAAAACAGTGAGCTCACTGTGCACTCCCCAACAATAATAAACTTTCCCTGGCCTGCTGGCTCCCGGCAGTGATTCTCTGTTATATGCTGCTGTGGGAGCATTGCCTCACCCTTCCAAACTCCAGCCCTCCCCACACCACAGCTACCCTGGAGTGAGTCAAAACATAGGGCTGGGAAACGGAGTGACATCCCAACCGGCCCAGGGCTCAGGACTTTGGGCTTGTTAGCTTTGGCTTGGCTGGTTCATCCATTTCTTTACATTAATATTTATTCAACCCATCCTTTTATTTACCAAAAATACTGAGAAATAGCAATTTAGCCCCAACCCTCTAGCCAGGATGCTAGAGAAAGCAAGTTGGATTCTGTGTCATGGTGTTGTTTTGTATGTGCACACATATGTCTCTATCTCCTTGTCCGTCTCTGTCTTCACTGTTTCTAAAGGAGATATATATAGATATCTACACACATCCACAAATGCCTGGTGTCTTCAGGCACACTTGAATTAGAAATAAACATGCATTTCAGCAAACTTCCATTACAGTCCCATAATCCTTTAATTTAAAAAGCATAGCTCTCTTGATAACCCTTCCTCCCTCAAAGAATCACCATCCTTTATGATGGTAAATTTCATCTTAACTGTCTGTCTGAAATGGCTCTTTATGGGGATATGTCAGGGATTGTGAGAGGCAAGACTGTTTTCAGAGAGATTTTTCCCCTGAAGGAGGAGAATCCTATATGACAACACTGCGTCCACAGTGGTTAGGACTGGGGTGAAGGTGCTCAACCCAAAACACCAGGTGGAGAGACTCTGGCAGTGGCATCTGGGAGAGTCTGAGCCAGGCTCAACCAGGCCCAAAGGGAAATGCTTGCAATCCTCAGAAAGTTCCTCCTTAAAGCTGCTGTCTCCCCACAGCTTGCCATCTGAGCTAGCACCCTCAAAGAACCGCCCCACCCCCACCTCAGCTCTAAACTGGAGCAAAAGGTCAGCTCTCCACTTCGTCCTGGTTGG